CTTGCAAACCAACTGCATACGATTTACTTTTCCTTTTTTGCAGCCATATTATCTGATATTAAACTGTAATTTTAAAAAGTAACACAAATGAATAAGTTACTTGAGGAAATTAATTGATTAAATGTTCATTAACAGGGAAATTAATGAGTTTGTTTCCACAAGTCTGCATTTAATGTTTTTAGCCATTTATTTCTCCATCTCTGTGCCTTTAATGAAGCTTCATAAATCTGCCCAGACTACCTACAGAAGCTAAAACTAAACAAACAGCACTCCCAGCTCTTTCCTGTCCTTTGTCTGACTTTTTTTTTAGTTGGAACCAGGATTGTGCAAACAAGCCAACAAGCCAGACAAGATGTTGTGTTTGGGTAAACTCGGATTTTTCAGAATTTCTAACTTACTACTTGAGAATTAAGATGTTTAGGCAAATTACAGACATTTTACACGTGGCTAAAATTGTCAAATTTAGTCGAGCATTTTTTCAACACTTCTCCATTTCTTGTAATAGATTCTTGAAGTCTGGGATTTTTATCACTGAAGTTTCCAAAGTCCGAGGTGACATGGACGCAGCCCTACTATGTTACTTATCAGTTCACGTCGCAGGTCACTAGGAAACATTAACGCAATGCACGTTGGTAAAATGCCGACACATGTGGTTCTTCAGAGAAAATATTTGATGTCAGAAGTGGGATTCGAACCCACGCCTCCAGGGGAGACTGCGACCTGAACGCAGCGCCTTAGACCGCTCGGCCATCCTGACTGCAATAACCGCAAATAACACCAGTTTTTCTGACCGACTCTGATTAAAGCGACGACATATTTTGATTTTACAGCGTGCAACTTGCAAAATACAGCATGCATGATCATCAGTAATGCACATAAATGGGGGGAAAAAATGGCGGAAAAGCTGCTTTTACTCACTTTTTTTTTTCTTACACGTTTATCTCATCTCGTTTGTGGAAGCGTGAACACACGGAATGCTTCCATGACAGAACGGAATGCACTGTGGACCTTAAACCCAACAATCAGAGTTCATATCTCAGTGTGACCCAGTTTCACTCTCTTCATCTGAACTATTTATCGAAAAAGCCAGATAACAGCAGGCAGAGTTCAGCTCAGTTGAGTTGTATTTGTACAGCGTCAATGTAGGACAAGTCATCTTGGGGCACCTCCCGTAGTAAGCTAAAAGTCTTGAAATTTAAGAAAAAGAGAACTGGGAGTTGTTTTACGTAAACTTTCGCTGACATTTAGAACATGCTTTAGTTGAATTTTAATGATTTTGCCAAAACCAGTAGCTTTACAAGAAGACGGTAGAAGCTGTGGATACGAAGGTCGCCGGTTCGATTCCAGCTCGTAACAGATAAATTCAAACTCAAACTTTAACCAGCTGTTGTTAAACTTTGAGATATAATTGCTCACTGCTCAAACGTACTCAAATCATCTTTTACGAACTCGTTATTGACAAAGCTGTAGAAGCAGTTTTTTTTTTTGCACCAATCTATTTATAATGTCACGACTAACAAGGCCTCTTTGATCAGTTGTGAAATGGTTTTTGAATTCATGCTGTTTGTATCATATAATTGTAGCTTGACTATGCATAAAGGTCTGTGTCTGACTCTGATTAAACAGATATTTATGTGAAGAACAAATCAAAACTAAACAAAATTATTACAATGTACAGATTAATTGGCTATCACACAAACAATACAGAAGCTAATTATGTCCAATATAGTGGTAACTATATTGAAACAATTTGACCATAGCTATATAAAACAATACAATAAAAAAAAATAATAAAGTCGTAAAAGCTGTGCGAAGGTCAGCAGAGAAATACGACCCTAGAGACCCTAGACCTGTAGGTATCTCCACATCTCCTGCTGCTGGAGTGTGCTGAGGGATCAACCAGAGGTCACAGAGGTGGACGTAGAGGAACCTGACGAGCTAAGGAGGAGGCTGATGCTTCCTGATTTTTTTTTTTTAAAAAGAGCAATTTAGAGACATATTTATAAAGATGAAAGTACTATTTTCAGTTTAGTAAAACATGAATGTAAAGAAAACAACGACAGTGAAATTGTTGGTGGACCACCTGGTTTCACAACAATTCACATCTTTATGGGCCATTAGCCATGTTGGTTGCAGGGACTATAGAATCCCCATTAGTCAGTTAGAACTGAAGAAGCCTCCTCTGGATGAGAGGCGAAACGTCTTCAAGAACCTCCAGTTGATTTCTACTGGAGCTCCTACGATTCCCATGACCTGGATGACTGAGAATCTACACTGACAAGTACACGGAAAAGTTACTCACAGCTGTAGCAGCAGCTGGTGGAACAGAGAAATGAATAAACGTCCTCGGACCGTGGGCAGGCGACGGTCTTCTGCTTGCCATGATACTTGTAACATTGCTGGACATTGGAGTAGAGGTGGAGACCTGGTGAGAGAATAAGACAACTGTTTACATCATAAATGACAATGATCATTAGACATTACAGTCACTGACAATTACAACAAGCCCACTATAGTTACACAGGAAAACACTATACTGCTGCTACATTGCACCCATCTTACCTTGCCAAGATGCTTCCCAACTAAACTTAAGCTTGGCATTAAGGCAGCATCCTGAGACCTTCCAAACCCTGGTTTTGTAAACCTCAGAAATATTTATTGATGCCAGAGTCAAAGAAGGCTTCTGAGGAGTTGTTTCTGGCCGCCCTGGTGTCTTGTAGAGAGGACAATGCTGATGAGGAACATGGCTGTAGCGTCCCAGAAGATGGACCAGGGACAGAGCTAGAAGGCTACAAGTGCACAGGTTAGAAAAAGGAATTTATTCATACTTGCAAACATAAATTTAATGAAAAACCACTGCAGCTACATGTTTATAATCTATAATGCAGTTTGAGTATATCGTTGGAATGTATCCCGCTTTTAGTTTAATTAGCTTTATCCCTAATACCTGCACAAGCAGTGCTGACTATTCTGTCCATCTTTACCTTCAGATATAGATCGTGTCACTTTCTCTGGCGTGGTGCAGGTCTGCTTCCTGCCTCGGAGGGAAGGAAGCAGCTAATCTTTTCAAACGGGAAACCCACTCCTACAGCTCTGTTTCTTTTGTTTGGAAGACATCTACCAATAATGAAAGTAAAAGTTATACCAAATGGACCAGCCAGAGACGAGAAATAAGAGAGTGACCATTTCTATTATATGTTATATTATTATTCATAGGTGCATAGACTGAAAAAAATCTAATTTATGTTCTAAGCTAAACCTGTAAAGTGATACTATGATAAAGTTATAGCAGAAAAAGAAAGTAATTGCAGTGACAGCAAGCTCATGCACTGTTTTGGGCTAAGGAAAATACTCCAGTTGCTAAAAGCTATGTTGTCAAAATCATGTCAAGTCACTGAAGTGGTCGAGTAAAGTAAGGAAAATTGAATGACGGACAATTGTATTCATACACAAGCACTAAGTAAGTAAAACAGCAGTGAAAAACAGGTAGCTAGCCGGTGTAACAACTGAAGGATGCTATGATCGTTTATTTCTTCTAATTATTACAGTGTCATTTAAGTAGCTTATTAAAAACAAAATAATAATAATTTGGTTTTACCTTGATATGCAAAAGTTTACATACGTTTTTTTTTTTCCACAAATAGAAGTATAAATGACTTTATGACTGGAGGGAAAGCCGGGTCACAAGGTCGCCATGCTCGACCTGTGATTGGTCGCTGGTTGAAATCTAGACATGCTCGATATCGATTGGTCGAGCGAGGACGTTAAATTCTGGACATGAGAGGAGATGATTGGCTGTGAATCTGGAGAAATCTGGAGAAATTTGGGGGAAATCTGGAGCACATCCACACATAATAACACCAGTTTTTACTAGAAAGCAGAAGCAGCACCACATTATACTTTGATTTCAGAGTGCACAACCTGGAATAAATAACATTATCAGTAATACAGATAACTAGTATTATCACTTTTTTTTCTTACATGTTTGTCTCACCTTGTTTGTGGAAGTGTGACTGTATGAACACATGGACTGGTTCCATGTTGTAAGGGAATGCACTGTGGACCTCAGGCCATACAATCAGAGTCCAAATTTGAGTGTGACCCAGTTTCAATTTATTCACCCGAACTACTTATCAAAAAGGCCAAGTGACTGTGGTGAGAGTTCAGTTGTGTTAATACAACACCAATTTAGGACAAAAACAATGTCAGGGCAGCTCAAGTAGGAAGATGAAAGCCTTACTTCCTTATAGACATAAATAATATTTATTGAAAAGTCCAACAATAGAATAAAATAGAAAAACTTTATTTTTCCCAGACCTGGCAAATTATTTCGAAACAGCAGCACAAAAGGAAACACCAAATCACAACAAGAAAGGGCTAAAAGGTAAATACTATTAAAAAAAAACAAACAAACTGTACAAAAAGTGCAAATTGAAAAACAGTGCAAAACAAAGCATGTTACAGAGCAGAGAGCTGAGAATGCTGTCTGCCAGACAGAGGCCGGGTGTTGTGGAGGGTTATTGCTCTGAGCAGGAAAGATTTCGTGAGTCAGTCTATTTGGGAAGGAGCTCCGCTGCATGTCCAGGGGGGATGGAGGGAGTGATCGGGCTTATCCAGAATAGATAACAGTTTGTTTACAGTCCTCCTGTCCACCTCAGCTTCCATGGTGTCTGGTTTGCAGCTAATGCCCACACCAAAGAGTCAAAGAGAGAAAGAAAAGGAGAGCAGAGAGAAAACTACACTGCTCATACTATACTATCCTCCCGTTTATTAATATATTAAATACATACCGAAACCTACACTTATTCTGCATAGGAGCATCTGCAAAACAGTGAAAAAGATTTCCCTTGCCAGGCCCCAGCGAGGATCGAACTCGCGACCCCTGGTTTACAAGACCAGTGCTCTAACCACTGAGCTATGGAGCCTGTGCTTTCCGCCAATGACACGTATTCAGTGTTTAAATGAGCTGATAAGTCCAATCTAACGCGGAAACGTCGAAACGTCGTTCAACTGGACACTTAACGACACTGAACTGCACCTACAACACAGTTTTAACGTCGCCGTCTCTGTGTGAACACGACTCGCGAAGAATGGCAGTTTTCAGCGCACTTCTGAGTTGGGCTTCCCAGGCGTTTCTGTTTCTGCTCGTTCTGCTTTTCATAGCGTTGCTCGGCTACTGCGCGTATATTAAATACATCCACCTGAAATATGACCACATTCCTGGGCCACCGAGGGACAGGTAAGTCCAGTCCGGACGCTCTTTAGCTAGTCGAGGCTAACTTTAGCTAACTTATTTGTTAGCTTAAAACAGCTAACATTCTCAGTGACGTACCGTTTTTTGTTTTTTTTTTTCTTCACGCAGCTTTTTCCTCGGACATACGGCGACTTTATTGAGGGTAATGAAAGATGAAAAAGTTGTGAACGACAAATTCCTGGAGTGGTAAGTTAAACAGCGTTGGGAAATGTTATAAGTCAGTGGAAGTGCGTGTGTCGGTCCTCCAACATATCTGCGCATTACACCCCCTATAGTTTGCTATAGGCTACAGCTAGCTACACCTGAAATACTCACACTTACTTTGGTTTGTGTACATTTGCACCATTTGATAATTTACTCCACTTATCAACTATATTTTTCAGTAGGTATTGACCCCAGTGCATTTGCATGTGTGATAGTTTCATTATTTGTAAGTTTTTCTGTTTTGTTTTTTTATAGGGCTGAGACATATGGGACTGTATACAGAATAAATTTTCTTCACAGCATTATAGTGTTTACGACTTGTCCAGACACAACTAAGGTAAGCACCTCTTGCATAAGCATTGCACAAGAAACAGTGTGAAAGTGCACACAGATCAACGGATACAGTATACAATGGACGCACCCCTGTGCAACATCACAACTGTGATGTGATTCAGGAATAAATCACTTCTCAATAATTGCACTACTTCTCAGTTGAACAGTTAAAAATGTAAAGCTTTCCATTTGACTAAAGTGAGTGCACCTGTCATTACTTAGAGTGTGATTTTTAATAGTGAATCCTCCTCAACATGGAGGAAGCTACTTTTCTGCAGAGCTGTTCTGCTATTCTTCAGAAACTTTTTTTTTCCAGCTACTCTTTTGTTGAGTCGTGTTGCTCTGCCTTTCTCTTTAAAACACCCCAAACGTGTTGTTTTGATTTCAAGTCAGGTTGCAAACTTGGCTAGATTAAAATATTCCCTCTTCTTTGTGTGCTTTGGCAGCGTGCTTTGGATCATTACCATGCTGGAATATTTCTCTTTTGGCTAATCAACAAACTAGGAGCCAACTTCTTAGCCAGTATTTTGGTGTATAAAAAGTTTAACACTCTCACATCTGGGCTGTCAGGACTATGCATTCATTGTGGTAGTCCTGACTAGGTTCACACCAACCATTCTGGACTCCACCTGACTATCTTGATCGCAATCTGGCCAAAGAATGTCCTGCCAATAATAATATCCTTTAGCAGTTTACAATATCATTTAGCAGATGCCTTTATCCAAAGCAACACACATCTGAGAGTAGAAACAAGC